AAGCTGAAAACATGGATATGGGACCAAGCCTTTGGGTAATCTGACAGACTGACAAGGTAATGACAACCAGAATTTTGGGAAGGACTATGGTAATGCTGAATGGACTTACGGATTTTAGAACTCGGTGAACGTTGGCCACTAGATTGGCTTTTTAGTTGTTATTGTATTAATTGAATGTTTTAACTATTGTGATTATAGTTGTTATGTATTTTATCTGTTGAATTGTTGGCATCAAATTGTGCCAGTTGTAAGCCGCTCTGAGTCCCCACTAGGAGGTTGAGAAGGGCAGGGTAGAAGTGCCCGAAATAAATTTAAAACTGGCTTCATTGGCTTGAGCCGAGGCCAGGAAATTCCTTCCTTCTCTGGTTTAAAACTGGCTTCTCTGGTTTGAGTCGAGGCCAGAAAATTCCTTCCTTCTCTGGTTTAAAACTGGCTTCTCGGGCTTTAAAACCAGCATCTCTGGCTTAAGCTGAGGCCAGGAAATTCCTTCCTTCTCTGGCTTTAAAACCGGCTTCTCTGGCTTGAGCCAAAGCCAGGGACCAGAAGCGGGGAAAAGCAAGTGGAGGAAATTCCTTCCTTCTCTGGTTTAAAACTGGCTTCTCTGGCTTGAGCCGAGGCCAGGGACCAGAAGCGGGGAAAAGCTGAATAATTTCCGACTCACTTCATGAGTCGTAACAAAAATGGTGGAAACAGCTTTGGAAGGGCAAAGGGACTTCCAGTTTTCTTTAAAACTTCAAAATTGCTTCAAAAAGGTAATTTTTCTGACTTCATTCCAAAGGACAAAGATTCCGACGGTACTTAACCATGCCTACAGGTTAATCACCAGCAGCAACAGATCTTACCAATTGCAAGGTTGGCAGTTCGAAGCTTAGGTCGGGGAGAGCACCCGCCCTTCAGCTCAACTTACTATACACCTAAGCAGTCTGAAAACAGCTGTGAGTAGACAAATTAGGATCCGCTTGAGCGGGGATGTATTTCACGGCACCATAAAAGAAATACCAGAAAATGCCAGCAATCAAAGGAAGGAGGACATCTGTGATCAAGGATTATTTGTCATATAGGTTAGAGCAACAGCGCCCCCGTGGCTGGAATGGAGCACAACCTCCAGGATGCAGAAGTTGGAAAAAATGCCGCCATAATATCTCTATCTGTTATTTGTCCTGTCTGTTTAACGGCATTGAATGTTTGCCGTGTATGTGTCCTGTGACCTGCCCTAAGTCCCCTTCAGAGTGAGAAGAGCAGAATATAAATTCTGTAAATAAATAAATAATAACTTTGAATAATGTGGGCACCTCAAAATCATCGGGATGCATAGTATTACTACCGGCTAGCCTCCTCCAAAACTCAACAACTCACGGGTTATTGGGGACAGCTGAATAGCTGTGTCCCACTGAAAAGGGTGCATTTGAAGGGGTTGTGCTTCTACGATTGCTCAATACATGGAGTGCTCACGATAGAAGTTGTTATAGCAACAAAATTGCTATAAGGGAGGTTTAAAATGCTGCATTTCCCTCCTTCTAAAAAGGAAATACTTGACAGGTACCTACAGTGCATGTGTTCCACCAGTTATCAAAATGAAATCTGCTTTTAATTGGATACAAAGGTGCCGTTCTTCAAGTTGCTAGTTGTAATGTCAACTGGTATGGTTTCTTTATTTCTTTTTTTTAATGATTGGTTTGAAAACTCTAAGACTGCTTGGTTGCTGTATGGACACGTTCCAGAAGCATTCTCTCCTGACATTTTGCCCACATCTATGGCAGGAATCCTCACAACCTCTGCATCTTCAAACTTTTTTTTTTGTCGTGTCAGGCTGTGAGGTCCTCACAACCTCAGTGGATGCTTGCCATAGATGCAGGCGAAACGTCAGGAGAGAATGCTTCTAGAACATGGCCATATAGCCTGAAAAACCTACAACAACCCAGTGATTCCAGCCATGAAAGCCTTTGACAATAAATGAGAGAATCCTCTCACAAGGATAGTAAAACATTAAAACATCCGGGCGTCCCCTGGGCAATGTCCTTGCAGACGGTCAATTCTCTCACACCAGAAGCAACTTGCAGTTTCTCAAGTCACTCCTGACATAAAAAAAATAAAAATGAAGGAATTATAGGAGATTTCTTTGATGGAGGCCAGGAATCTCAAAGTTTGAGCTACTTTGATGAGTAGAAGGGCAGCCTCAAACCCCATTAGCCCTAGCTCATACTCAATGAATGAATGAATGAATGAATGAATGGGATTTATATTATAAGCATTGACATAGCATCCAGCAGTCAATGTTATGGCTCTTCTTTTTAGTCGGGACCAGCAGCAGGGTTTGAGCCAAAGTCCAAGCACACCTCTAATGCTAAGCTCCTCAAATGGTTTCATCTTCACATATTTTTGCTTTGTCCGTAGAAATCGACGGCTATTTACATGTGTCGTCAGGCTACTCACATCAAGGATTCCATTCTTTAGACATGCACACAGAAATAACACTTATTCCACAGCGATGGATGGAGTGAGTCGATGGGGAACGTTGCCGCCGTACCTCTGAGGATACAGCCCTTTTCTCTTCTAGAAAGGCTGATGCTGTGGTGAACGCAGAGCAATGGCACACAGACCAGGACACAAGACAGAATGCGCAAACAGCGAGGAAATGGTGACACGTTATAATAATGCGTTCCGACAGGATCAAAGAATACTCACAACACGTGGGAACTGGGATATGAGATTTCCTTACACAAATATTGAGTTCGATGATTATTTTCCTTTGACCCTAATAATGCCCTTTGCAAATAATATTATGCGTCTGTGTCAGGAGTGGTATCCATGGTTTCATTTATTCACACCTGACAAAATAGGTCTCCTCTAAGCATTTCCTCCAATACGACCCTATGATATCCTCTTCATGTCAATAGGGTCTGCTATTATGAGTATTTTTGTATATCCACACAAAGTTTGGAAATGTATCCCTTGCCAATATAGGGGATGTACTATATCCCTAAGATGCCATCAAGCTGTGTCTAGAAGTTGGCAACTGCCCACCAAACCCACTCTAGAAACAGTTGACCTTCTTAGAAAAGCAGCATGATGTCAGGCTAAAGGAGGCATGGGCAAACTTTGGCCCTTCAGGTGTTTTGGACTTCAACTCCCACAATTTCTAACAGCCTCAGGCCCTTTCCTTTCCCCCCTCTGCCACTCAAGCTGAGTGCTGGGCCCATAACCAATGTTATGCTCTATTGCCTGTGCGGAAGGAAAAGAAGCTTCCTCTCCAGGAGACATGGGCAAACTTTGGCCCTCCCTCCCGGTGTTTTGAACTTCGTCTCCCACAATTCCTAACAGCCTCAGGCCCTTTCCTTTTGCCCCTCAGCCTCTTCAACAGAGTGCTGGGCTCATAAACAATGTTAGACTCTGTTGCCCATGCAAAATGCAAAGCTGAGTGCTGGGCCCATAACCCAGGTTAGGCTCCATTGCCCGTGCAGAATGCAAGGAAGCTTCCTCTCCAGCAGGCATGGGCAAACTTTGGCCCTCCCTCCAGGTGTTTTGGACTTCATCTCCCACCATTTCTAACAGCCTCAGGCCCTTTCCTTTCCCCACTCAGCTGCTTCAGCTGAGTGCTGGGCCCATAACCAATGTTAATCTCTGTTGCCCATGCAAAATGCAAGGAAGCTTCCTCTACAGCAGGCATGGGCAAACTTTGGCCCTCTCTCCAGGTGTTTTGGACTTTGTCTCCCACAAATCCTAACAGCCTTAGGCCATTTCCTTTCCCCCCTCAGCCTCTTCAACTGAGTGCTGGGCTCATAACCAATGTTAGGCTCTGTTGCTTGTGCGGAAGGAAAGGAAGCTTTCTCTACAGCAGGCATGGGCAAACTTTGGCTCTCCCTCCAGGTGTTTTGAACTTCGTCTCCCAACATTCCTAACAGCCTCAGGCCCTTTCTTTTTTCCCCTCAGTAGGTTAAGCTGAGTGCTGGGCCCATAACCCATGTTAGGCTCTGTTGCCCATGCAAAATGCAAAGAAGCTTCCCCTCCAGCAGGCATGGACAAACTTTTGCCCTCCCTCCAGGTGTTTTGGACTTCGTCTTCCACAATTTCTAACAGCCTAACAGCCTACCTTCTGTTAGAAATTGTGGGAGACGAAGTCCAAAACATCTGGGGTGCTGGGCCCATAACCAATGTTAGGCTCTGTTGCCCATGCAGAATGCAAGGAAGCTTCCTCTACATCAGGCATGAGCAAACTTTGGCTCTCCCTCCAGATGTTTTGGACTTTGTCTCCCACAAATCCTAACAGCCTCAGGCCCTTTCCTTTCCCCCCTCAGCTTCTTCAGCTGAATGCTGGGCCCATAACCAGTGTTAGTCTCTGTTGCCCATGTGGAATACAAGGAAGCTTCCTCCACAGCAGGCATGGGCAAACTTTGGCCCTCTCTCCAGGTGTTTTGGACTTTGTCTCCCACAAATCCTAACAGTCTGAGGTCCTTTCCTCTCCCCCCAGTTGCTCAAGCTGAGTGCTGAAGCTGAGTGCTGGGCCCATAACCAATTTAGGCTCTGTGCCTGTGCAGAGTGCAAGGAAGCTTCCTTTTACAGCAGGCATGGGCAAACTTTGGCCCTCCCACCAGGTATTTTGGACTTCGATTCCCACGATTCCTAACAGCCTCAGACCCTTTCCTTTTCTTCCTCAGCCGCTTAAGCTCCCTGCTTGAGTGGTGATGGCATGATCGTCAGCATAGACGAAATTTTCCCTATGGAAAACATAGATCGATTTCCAGGTGTTTTGGAAGGGTCCTGGGGCTATTAGGATTTCTGGGAGTCAAAGTCCAAAACACCTGGGGGAGGGCCAAAGTTTGCCCATGCCTGGGCTAAAGGGAACATAGATGTCAGCATTTTACCCTGTTAACTATAGACAGAAAAAATCTGCCTTAGGTGGGATGATTCAGGTATAAGAAACAGAATGAATAAGCAATCATTGTGGACTGTTAACAACAACAACAAAAACCCCAAAACCCTGCAACTTGGAAAAGATTCAGTACAATGCAGACAGAATATTTCTAATGATCTCATGAAGGGTGTGAAGGAGGGAAGGAAGAAAGTGATTGTTCAAAGAGCGAGATGGGGGTGGAACTAGACTAGAATTCCCTACAGTTTCGAGAGACTTTGCTTCTTCGCTGCTTCACAGGCTGCCGTAGATGCGTTTGATCACATCTGCCTCTTCTTTGTCCAGGATGCCCTTGTCCACGTAAGCATCTGCTTGTTGATCAATGAAGTCTCGGAGTTTGGAAAGGTCATAATCTGGAAGGCAAGGAGGAATTAATAGCATGAGTCTTGTCTCTATCGATCTCTCGGTTAGTGCAACAATTTCATTTCCAAGCCTGCGGATCTAGTTGAGGTCTCTGACAGTCATCTGAATGCCTTTAAAACTGGCCCAGGAGAGGGAGAATTAAAAAATACAGATACATGTTGAAATCAAACGAAAATAGGTTAAAAATGCCTCTGAAGTTTCTGGTGTGATGGGTAGAGTGGAGTCCCAAATTTATGTCATCCAAACCTAAGCTCATGTTATGGCACAGGAAAATCAGAATGCTTTCACCTAATCAACTAGATGGATTAGAGGGCAAGTTTATGAACATTTTGGTTAGGACTTCTTGTTTTGCAGGATCAATCAAGTTAATACACAATAGCGTTTTTTCCATAATACGTCTTTTTCCTGGTGACTAAGGCCCCTTCTGTTGGAAATGGCAACCTTCTCAAGCCTCCACTAGTTACGTTATTGTATATAATTCAGATTGCTTACTATATTATATATGTGTGTATTGGTATGTAATTTTACCTTAACTCTTTGCTGTGGGGAGGGTGGAGACCATGTGATCAGAACTGGGCTTGTTCAGGACTCAGACTCCATTTTGGAACAGTATGCTTAGAGACTCCATTGGACTTTCAGACTAGACAGACTTTACTCTCAGAACAGAGAGATGCTTTGGAATAGGGACTATTGAATCTAGGAAATATGCCCTGTGTTACTTACCTAGAGAAACTATTTCAAATCCTATGTAAATGTGAAACTGTTGGAAATAGCAACTTTCTACAAGCCTCCTATACTAGTTATTTGTTTTGTATATAATTCAGATTGCTTACTGTATTATATATGTGTGTATTGGTATGCAATTTTACCTTAACTCTTTGCTGTGGGGAAGGTGGAGACCACGTGATCAGAACTGGGCTTGTTCAGGACTCAGACTCCATTTTGGAACAGTATGCTTAGCGACTCCACTGGCCAGTTAAAATCAGAGTCCGGGTCAATTCATTGTTACTTCAAATTGCTTATGTCTTCTTTTCACTAGCCGCTATTCAATGGTGAAACGCAAGGTCTCACAACCAAGTCTTGAGTTTCCTTCTAAAGGACAGGAGGGAGGTGGCCAGTCTGATGTCCCTGGGGAGGGAATTCCACAGGTGGGGGCCACTGCTGAGAAGGCCCCGTCTCTCGTCCCCACCAATCATGTTTGCAACAGCGGTGGGATCGAGAGCAGGGCCTCTCCAGATGATCTTAAACTTTGTGATGGTTCGTAACAGGAGATACGTTCGGACAGGTAGTCTGGGCCAGAAACCTAGTTGCCTTTTGTGAATGCTGGTGAATGCCATTTTCTCAAAGGGTTATGATTCTAAGAAGTCACATTTTTACCAAGCGGTTATGGTATCATTTTATAAAAGGTTATGACTGCTAACAAGGTCATGACTTTGCAAAGATTATAAAAACTCCAAATGGTTCTGGAGATTTTCCAAAACCTTCTACACTGTCATATAAAATCCAGTTTATTTGCCTTAAGCTGGAAAAAAAACCTGGCAGTGTAGACTCATACAATCTAGTTCAAAGCAGATAATATTGATTATTTGCTTTGAAAATCTGTATTATATGGCAGTGTAGAAGGGGTCAAAGAGCTCCTTGGAATACTGATGTCTTGGAGATACAGCAACATGACTCATAAGGATGAGAAGTCAGTGTTCAGTCTTTTTGAGAACTTGGAAAGATCTTTTGTGGACTACAATCCCCAGAATCACTGAGCTAATATGTAGCTTATACTATTTATCTCTTCTACTGCCCACTTTGGGCAGAAGTGGCTCTGACTTTAGGATCTCAGCGGGGCAAAAGAATCGCCCATTCCTTGCTTTTATCTGGAGATGCCAGGCAATGAATCTGGAGCAAACCATATGATCTACAACTCGACTAATAAAACTGCTGAAATATTAGACTTTTGCACTTTGAGCTCAGTTTGCAACCATTGAATCAAGCTAAGGACAAAGAGACCAATTGGGAGGAAGGAGAAGTAAAGTGGAACCTTTTGGGAGCTGCTCAAGAAGTGGGACCAGAGGATGAGGATGTAATTTGGCTCAGCTAGACATCTTCCATTAACAAGTCTGCTTCGGTTTGTAATTGGTAATTGGAAGGCAAGCTAGGCTTAATTTGAAAGTCTTATTGCCGATGCACATACCTCAGAGGAAAGAAACCCCGCTGTGAGAGGGAAATGAGTTAATTGGAGGAAATACGCATTTCCATTAATATCTGATTGAGCTCTGCCTGATTACGACTGATGGACACAAACTCTCCCTTCCTTTGTTTATTTCTTCATTCTTCAGCTAGACCTGGAATGGGGAACATTGTCCTTTACTGCAGTACTAACTTGAACCTGGCAGATGAGTTAACTAAACCATTAAGTGTTCAAAAACATTTAGCAATAATAAGTGATTTGTGTATTTTTGATATACTGTGTAAATGTAAAATGCTTATTTTTCCTGTTAACCACAAGGCGGGGTGTTGGAGCATGTAAAAAATCAGTTGGTGAGTGTTTTAACTGAAAAATGCAAAGCACGAAGCCAATTGATTGAGCCATACCCAGAAGCTAGCTGAGCCTGGGAGTTTTGGCAACAGTTACATGTTTAGGTTTTCTGTGCAGGAGCTTGCCAGAACAGTTTGTATTTTGGGTTGTTGTAGTTTTTTTGGCCTATATGGCCATGTTCTAGAGGCATTCTCTCCTGACGTTTCATCTGCATCTATGGCAAGCATCCTCAGAGGTTGTGAGGTCTCAAAAACCACTGGACGAATTGACACCAAATTTGGACACATGACACCTATCAGCCCAAGGAGTGACCATCACTCAAAAAAAAAAACAGAGCAGAAGAGACTTAAAAAGCCAAAAAAACAAAAATTACGTTACAATGCATGCGCAAAACCACACACACACATATATGCAAACACACATATACACATCTACACAAATATATACACACACATATACACACACAAAACACATATACACAGACTGGGCCACAGCAACGCGTGGCAGGGGACGGCTAGTTGTGAATATATTTGCAAACATAAGCCATTGTATCTATAGCAGGCATGGGCAAACTTGGGCGCTCCAGGTGTTTTGGACTTCAACTCCCACAATTCCTAACAGCCTACCGACTGTTAGGAATTGTGGGAGTTGAAGTCCAAAACACCTGGAGGGCCCAAGTTTGCCCATGCCTGATCTATAGCATTCACTTACTGCATGGGCATTAACATCATTTTATAATTCCTGTGTTTCTTTATCTGAAACGAACACGCAAGGAAGCCTTTGTGTTCATTTCAGCATCTCTTCTTCTCTTCTCACTTCCCAGATGAGGAGTTTTAATACAAAATGGAAGAATGCCTTCACAATCTCTCATTTTATGGATAATTGGGTAAATATGTTTTGCGGTGCTATTATAATTAATAGACAGAGCGCACCCCTGCTTTCTGTTAAGTCCTGTAAAAAAAAAAGTACAATAATGGGCACATTAGCGAAAATCAGTACTATCGGCCCATCTGTCGCCTCAATTAACATTTATGCCTAAGGAACTCTGCTAAAACATTTCCCTGGGATTCACTCCACGGCTTTCCAGATTAATAATTCAAGTCGCGGTGCCAAGTGTATTACGTGTCGCAGCATCTCTTGCCCTATTTTTCTTCATTAACTGAAGGCGAAATCTGAAGCTGATTTCAGATTTTCTTTCTTAACTCTCTGTGGTTTTCTCATGCCTATCAGTTTGTGGGATGAACATAACTCAAAAAAACCACTGGACACATTGACACCAAATTTGGACACATTACACGTATCAATCCAACAAGTGACCATCTATATATATATATATAATACGCTGTGCATAATGAGTACCTTAAAAACAAAAGAACCAATGAACGAAATCACACCAAATTTGGCAACAAAACGTCTCACAACACAAGGAGTGACCATCACTCAAAAAATTATGATTTTGTCATTTGGGTATTGTAGTTGCTGGGATTTATAGTTTACCTACAATCAAAGAACATTCTGAACTCCATCATCAATGGAATTGAACCAAACTTGGCACACAGAACTCCCATGACCAACAGAAAATACTGGAAGGGTTTGGTGGGCACTGACCTTGAATTTGGGAGTAGTAGTTTCCCTAAATCCAGAGAGCACTGTGGACTCAAACAATGATGGATTTGGACCAAACTTGGCACAAGCACTCAATACGCTCAAATATGAACACAAATGGAGTTTGGGGAAAATAGACCTTGACATTTGGAAGTTGTAGCCACTGGGATTCACAGTTCACCTACAATCAAAGAGCATTCTGAACCCCACAAATTACAGAATTGTGGCAAACTTCCCACACAGAACCCCCATGACCAACAGAAAATACTTAAGGCCATCCAGTCCAACTCCCTTCATCAGGGCAAGAAAACATAATCAAAGTCCTCCTGACAAACAGCCATCCAGGAATAGATATAGATAGATAGATAGATAGATAGATAGATAGATAGATAGATAGATAGATAGAGATAGACATATATGATTCACACACAGAGAGATATAGTATCATAGATTTCAAAAGGATCCTTAAAGATGGACAATGATATGTTGCATGTTCCAGGGTGGGCAAACCAGACAATCTCGACATCAACACTGACAAAGAAACAGCAAGAAATACAGTACTGTTTACCCACAAGCATCAAGAAATTACATATATTAGAAACCAACACTTTCTCATTACTTTATTTTCCAGATCACCAGACAGCAACGCGTGGCAGGGGACGGCTAGTCACTCATAAAAACACTGAAAAACACAGCGAGAGAGACTTAAAAAGCCAAAAAATAAAACTACACATGCACAAAACTACATATATATACGCAAACACATGTATACAGACATATACACATATTCATCATATCAGAAATGAGTTCTTAAGTTGTGGGATTCTCCTTCTTGTTGTGTTTCAACAAAGAGAATAATCAATTTGATGGAATCGTCATTTAGCTTTATTGGGTTTTTAAGTTCTTTCCACTACTTTTTTGTGGGGTTTTATGAGTGATGGTCACTCGTTGGTCTGTTAGGGGTATAGTGCCCAAATCTGGTGTCAATTCATCCAGTGATTTTTGAGTTATGTTAATCCCACAAATGAACATTACATTTTTATTTATGTAGACTAGCTGTCCTCTGCCATGCGTTGCTGTGGCCCAGTCTGTGTATATGTGTGTGTATATATTTGTGTATACGTGTATATATGTGTGTTTGCATATATATATGTAGTTTTACACATGCGTGGTAATGTATTTTTCATTTTTTTGGCTTTTTAAGTCTCTTCTGCTGTGTTTTCCAGTGTTTTTATGAGTGGTGGTCACTCGTTGGCCTGATACATGTATTGTGTCCAAATTTGGTGTAAATTCGTCCAGTGGTTTTTGAATCATGTTAATCCCACAAACAAACATTACATTTTTATTTATATAGAAGACTAGCTGTGCCCACCACACGTTGCTATGGCCAACCTTCCCTCCCTTTTCCTCTCCTTCTTTCCCTCTTTCCTTCACTCCCTCTTTCCTTCCTTTCCTTCCTTCATTACCTCTTTCTTTCCTTCCCCCTTTTTCTTTTCCTTCCTCTTTCTCTCCTTTCTTCCTTCACTACCTCTTTCCTTCCTTCCTTCACTCTTTGCTTCCATGCTTCCTTCTCTCTTTCTTTCTTTCCCTCCCTCTTTCTCTCCTTCTTTCTCTCCTTCCTTCGCTCCCTCTTTCCTTCCTTTCCTTTTTTTTCTTTCCTTCTCTCCTTCCTTCCTTATCTACCTCCTTCTTTCCTTCCCCCTTTTTCTTTTCCTTCCTGTTTCTCTCCTTTCTTCCTTCTCTACCTCTTTCCTTCCTTCCTTCGCTCTTTGTGTCCATGCTTCCTTCTCTCTTTCCTTCTTTCTTTCCCTCCCTCTTTCTCTCCTTCCTTCATTCCTTCCTTCCTTTCTTTCTCCCCTTCCCTCTCTCCCCCTCCCTTCACTTTTTCTGTATCATCATTTAGCTTTTTTGGGTTTTATGTTCTTTCCACTGTTGTTTTTTTGGGGGGGAGGAGGGTGTTATGAGTTATGGTCACTGTTAAGGGTGTAGATTCCAAATTTGGTCTCAATTCGTCCAGTGGTTTTTGAGTTATGTTAATCCCACAAACGAACATGACATTTTTATTTATTTAGATTAGAGCAGTCATGGGCAAACTCCGACCCTCCAGGCATTTTGGGCTTCAGCTCCCACAATTCCTAACAGCCTACCGGCTGTTAGGAATTGTGGGAGCTAAAGTCCAAAACACCAGGAGGGCTGAAGTTTCCCCATGCCAGTTCACATGATTCACAGAATCTAGCTCTGATGTGAATGCTCTTGGTCCGGTTCACATCACAACAACCCACTTCTAGCATCTTACCCTCTTTGTTTCCCTGCGTGTTGTGTTTCTTCAGCCATTCTATGTTCTTTCGGATAGCTTCCAAATATGCCTCCGCTTTCCCTGCAAAGTCAAAAAAAGGAAAGAGAAATAGAACCACGTATTAGTGAATCCGGATATATTGTGAGGACTTGGGGTGGCTTACAGGGCACATAATAATAATAATAATAATAATAATAATAATAAGAAGAAGAAGAAGAAGAAGAAGAAGAAGAAGAAGAAGAAGTCTGGATTGTTGATGTTGCCATTCCAGGTGACAGTCGCATTGAGGAAAAACAAAAGGAAAAACTCAGCCGCTATCAAGACCTCAAAATCGAACTGCAAAGGCTCAGGCATCAACCAGTACAGGTGGTCCCAGTGGTCATCGGCACACTGGGTGCCATGCCAAAAGATCTCAGCCGGCATTTGGAAGCAATAAACATCGACAAAATCACAATATGTAAACTGCAAAAGGCCACCTGACTTGGATCTGCGCGCATCATCCGAAAATACATCACACAGTCCTAGACGCTTGGGAAGTGTTCAACTTGTGATTTTGTGATACGAAATCCAGCATAGAGATCTTGTTTGCTGTGACATACTGTGCTTTTGTGTCAATTGTTATTATTATTATTATTTATTTATTTATTTATTTATTTATTTATACCCCGCCACCATCTCCCCAAAGGGACTGAGGGTGGCTTACATGAGGCCAAGCCCAACAACACATTTGTAAAACAACAAAGCAATAAGCAAATAAAACAATACAATGAATATAACTCCCATATAGCCAATAACACACAATTTTTTTAAAAAAAATTAAAGAACCTATGGCTGGGCCAGATGTAATAGATTAAAATTTTAAAATAAACACTGGGCATGAACAGAGGTAGGATGTATGTAAGCAGGAGGGTTTTAAAGGAAATGTAGGGAGAACAACGCAGTAGGTAGTTAAAGTGTTTCTGGGGATATTTTGCAGGGAATTGGTGAGAACAGGGCATTGTTTCCTTTATTCAGGGAAGGCACACTGGAACAGCCACATTTTCAGGCTCCTCCTAAAGACTGCCAATGTGGGGGCTTGCCTGATATCCTTGGGGAGTTCCAGAGTCGGGGGGCCACCACAGAGAAGGCCCTCTCCCTCGTCCCCACCAATTGTGCCTGTGAAGGGGGCAGGAGCGAAAGCAGGGCCTCTCCAGATGATCGAAGAGATTGTGTGGGTTCGTACACAGAAATGCAGTCACACAGGTAGGCAGGTCCCAAACTGTTCAGGGCTTTGTAGGTAAGAACCTGCACCTTGAATTGGGACCGGAAAATGAACGGCAGCCAATGGAGCTCCTTAAACAGGGGGGTTGACCACTCCCTGTAAGTCGCTCCAGTTAGTAACCTGGCTGCCGCTCGTTGTACCAATTGAAATTTCCGAGCTGTCTTCAAGGGCAGCCCCACATAGAGTGCATTACAGTAATCCAATCTGGAGGTGACTAAGGCGTGGACCACCCTGGCCGGATCCGACTTCACAAGATACAGTTTTAATTTGTGGCAGGCATCCTCATCAAAACCATTGCCAGTAACCTCACTGCAAGATGATTTGGACACATCATGAGACAACATGTTTTAGTCGAAAATATGGCAAACTGTGCTGGTACGGCTGTACCAGGAGCTCCAACTTCATTTTCTTTCTATTGAGTGTTTGCATGTATTCCAAGGTTCCATGCATTTTGCAATAAGGTGGTTTCCCTTGCTCTGCAATTATAGGGCCAATGACCCGTCAATCATCATTATGTTCTTTAGTTCCGCCCTTTTCCCCAGGGCTCTGGGAGGGAAAAGAAAGACTTCAGACAGTTTGGAAGTCTTTCTTTCAGTTTAATTCAGTTTGGAAGCCTAGTTACAGGACATGAGTTTTCCCCACCTGTAGAGAAGCTTCGTTTCTCACAACATGTGCCGTCGCACCTGGGGGCTATAACTCTTAGTGAAAGAGGCATGGACATGGCATCTTTCCCCAGGGGATTGCTTCTTGCCCTCCTATAGGAAACTGGAACTCCCAAAGACCAAAACACAACAGATAACTCGAAATGGTATTTATTGTTCACAATGAGTTATCTTTCTCAGGCATAAGCTTGATGTTTCAACAGGGATAAAGGAAATATACTTTACAATCTCTGAAGTCCAAGGAGTTTGCAGCTGAGAAGCTTTTCCTGTTTCCTCTTTCCTCAATGGCTGTGAATATCGGAATAAACACAACCCCAGTCCAATGGCCTATGTTGAAGGGACAAGACCTTCCTCTGGTGCCAAAAGAACCGGTTTGAAGGCGCTTGGGTCTCCTCAATGTTGTCCAGGACGCTCTGGACATAAAGCGTGAGTCCCAAGGGTAAAAAACCTTAGAATTGGTGCTGAGAGGTAATTTAATCAGGGGCTTTTAGAGCCAAGTCTCTTACTCATGTCCATCTGATAGAAACTCTGATTTTTTTTGTCATGTCAGGAGCAATTTGAGAAACTAAAGTCGCTTCTGGTGTGAGAGAACTGGCCGTCTGCAAGGACGTTGCCCAGGGGACGCCCGGATGATTTGATGTTTTTATCATCCTTGTGGGAGGCTTCTCTCATGTCCCCGCATGAGGAGCTGGAGCTGATAGAGGGAGCTCATCAGCCTCTCCCCGGATTCGAACCTGCGACCTGTCGGTCTTCAGTCCTGCCGGCACAGGGGTTTAACCCACTGCGCCACCGAGGGCTCCTAGAAACTCTGATGGCAGAATGAAAAAAAGGGAAGCACGCCCCTTCTCCAGGAAGAGGTGGAAGCAAACAATACTGATTGACAGCTATAAATAACCAATCAATCCAACTATACATAAGCAGGGTAAAAAGGCAGGATCAAGCATGATACAACAGTTTAAATCTTGCAACTAACAGTTCTACACATAGGTGGCGCCACTCGTGCCATCACACAACATCCGGGGAAACAGCCCTAAAGCTTCTAAGGAAAACAGTTTTACAGCACAGCCCAACCCTTGTTGGGATTCACAGCATCCGGGGAAAATTCTGGGGAGAAACAGTTCCAAAGGACTCCAGCTGGAGAATCTACAAAGCCTTGACTGGTAGGTCTACTCGGGACCCAAGGAGCAGTTTGGAGCTGGGAGTAGAGCCAACACCAGCAAAGTTTAGAAAGTAGATTGCCCAAGGAGGGGTTAAAAGGAGTTTTCCTCTTAAAGAAAAGAAACACTTCACGAAGCCAGTTGCCTGTCTAGACAAGTTAAGAAGCATTTGTTTGATTTGATAAAGATCTAAGAAACATTTGATTGTTTGTTGAAGATGTAAGCAATAATAAAGGACTTTGTTAAACTTTTCAAGCATCTAGAGACTTTTGTATGGGAAAATCCTTAGGCCTCTCACTTGAGGAGGACTTTGTTAAACCTTTCATACTTCTGAAGACTCTGTATAGGAAAATCCTTAGGGCCTCTCAGCCGAGCACCCCGGCTTCCCACTGGGCACAAAGATCACGTCCTGTTCAAAAGCCAACTGCTATAGGCCCAGCGTGTGACAGCACACAAACCCTTCTTAAGAAGTGAAAGAGCGATTTCCCCTTTTAATCCAAAAAATAAAGCTGCCCTTTTGGAATGAGTAATAATAAAGATCAAATCCATTTTATATGATGTGTTTTCAGTTCTAAACAAGGGCTCGCTTTGCCTACAAGGTAAGTAAGACAAAAGCAGTTCAAAGCGAACCTAATATACTCTCTAGAGGACTATTAAAGTTTAATGGATTCTGAACTCTTAACTTTGCCGGAGCTTTGCTGATGTAACAAGCCACCCATTTTCCAGAAAAAGACAAGAACTATTAGCTCCCTGAAAGGTTCTTGATATCTCAACCTGTCTTAATTTCAGTGGGGGCTCCTCGGCTGTGGAACGCCCTCCCCAGCAAGATTAGATCAGCTCCCTCTCTCCTGGCATTTAGGAAACAACCGAAAACATAGCTTTTCAAACAAGCCTTTGGAGAGTGAGATTAAGCAGTAAAGATAACTTTGGGATTGGTGCAATGTCAAAAGTTCTGTTTTATGTTGACTATGTCCAATGTTTTATAGTTTACTGGTTTTAATCTGTCATTATGCGCTATTTTAGTGATGTTTCTCAACCTGGGGGTCGGGACCCCTGGGGGGGTCATGAGGGGTTGTCAGAGGGGTCACCAAAGAACAGTACTTTCTGTTGGTCATGGGGGTTCTGTGTGGGAAGTTTGGCCTAATTCTATCATTGGTGGAGTTCAGAATGCTCATTGATTGTAGGTGAACTATAAATCCCAGCAACTAAAATGTAAAGGTCTATTTTCCCCAACTCCACCAGTGTTCATATTGAGCATATTGAGTATTCGTGCCAAGTTTGGTCAGATCCATCATTGTTTGAGTCCACAGTGCTCTCTGGATGTAGGTGAACTACAACTCCAAAACTCAAGGTCAATGTCCACCAAACCCTTCCAGTATTTTCTGTTGGTGATGGGAGTTCTGTGTGCCAAGACTGGTTTGATTCCATTGCTGGTAGAGTTCTGAATGCTCTTTGATTGTAGGTGAACTATAAATCCCAGCAACTACAACTCCCAAATGACAAAATCAATCCTCCTCCCTTCAACCCCACCACTATATATGTAATATTGTGTTTATTGTACTGATGGGCATGGCCTCATGTAAGCCACCCCGAGTCCCCCTGAGGGAGATGGAGCAGGGTATAAATAAAGTATTATTATTATTATTATTATTATTATTATTATTATCACACCCTCTGAGGATGCTTGCCATAGATGCAGGCGAAACGTCAGGAGAAAATGCCTCTAGAACATGGCCATATAGCCTGGAAAAACCTACAACAACCCAGTGATTCCGGCCATGAAAGCCTTTGACACCACTCCATCTTTCATTCAGAGCCATTTCGGCAGCACTTTGTATCGGAAATGACTTGTAGATTCTTAATAAGCTCTCGAGTTGCAGACCAATCAATATACTCAGCCCAGACTATTGAACTCGCTAACGATTTTCATGTTTTCCAAAAGAGAAAGCTGCAATTAGGCGGACATCTTTACGTACAGGGATGTCTTGGAAGGACAGAATATAGGATGCGAAATAAGTATTTGAACTCTCAAAGGAAGATAGTTGGATGGCTTGTTTGAAATTTGGTAGATCAACGCTTGTTAAAGTATGTTACAGGTTGGGTGTTGTTTCCCATTTTCTTAAACGTAAAAGCGCTGCCATTGGGAGTTGTAGTTGCTGGGATTTATAGTTCACCTATAATCAAAGAGCATTCTGAACTCCACCAATGGTGGAATTGAACCAAACTTGGCACAGAGAACTCCCATGACCAACAGAAAATATTGGAAGGGTTTGGTGAGCATTGACCATTGAGTTTATGATTTGTAATATAAATATCTCATATGCAGGATGTATTATTTATTTATTTATTTACAGCTTTTATATTCCGCCCTTCTCACCCTGCAGGGGACTCAGGGCGGATTAGAGTGTACACATATATGGCAAACATTCAATGCCAATTTTTGACATACAAACATATACAGACATACACAGAGGCTATTTAACTTTTTTCTGGCCGCCAGGGGAGCTGTCGCTTTCATCGTCCATCTGCAACTGATGAAGCACTTCCGCATTCCCCGCATGCTTCCCCGCTGGAATGCTTTGTTGGAGTCTTCTTTATGGCCTCATAAATCAGTTAATTTAGCCTCCCCACACTTTAAGGTGGTACCTAATTTTCCTACTTGACAGATGCAACTGTCTTTCGGGTTGCAAAGGTCGACAACAGGCTACACAATTGGTTGGAAACCCACTCCAACCCGGGCTGGCTTCGAACTCATGACCTTTTGGTCAGAGTGATCTTAATGCAGCTGACACTCAGCCAGCTGCGCCACAATGTGTCTACATGTATTTTCATTCACTGGACCAAATGTGACACAAATACCCAATATGCCCCAAATTTGAATACTGGTGGGGTTGGAGGGGGAGGGAGGGTTGATTGACTTTGTCATTTGGGAGTTGTAGTTACTGGGATTTATAGCTCACCTACAATCAATGAGCATTCTTAACCCCACAATGATAAAATTGGGACAAACTACACACATCAAACCTCCCTCCAGCCTCGCACGCTCTCCATGCTCTGAGCACGTCTGCTCTCCCCTCCGCACTTGGAGTCTCAGAATCAGCTGACCAATCACAGTGAAAGAGTGCTTTTAGTGGGAGGATTCACTGTCTTGTCGAAGGCTTTCATGGCTGGAATCACTGGGTTGTTGTAGGTTTTTCGGGCTATGTGGCCATGTTCTAGAAGCATTCTCTCCTGATGTTTCACCTGCATCTTTGGCAAGCATCCTCAGAGACCTCACAACCTCTGAGGATGCTTGTCATAGATCAGTGTTTCTCAACCTGGGGGTCGGGACCCCTGGGGGGTCATGAGGGGGTATCAGAGGGGTCGTCAAAGACAATTAGAAAACACAGTATTTTCTGTTGGTCGTGGTTCAGAATGCTCTTTGATTGTGAACTATAAATCCCAGCAAATACAACTCCCAAATGTCAAGGGCTATCTTCCCCAAACCACATGTCCATATCTGGGCATATTGAGTATTTGTGCCGAGTTTGGTCCAGATGCATCATTGTTTTGAGTCCACAGTGCTGTCTGGATGGAGGTGAACTATAACTCCAAAACCCAAGGTCAATGCCCACCAAACCCTTCTAGTATTTTCTGTTGGTCATGGGAGCTCTGTGTGCCAAGTTTGGTTCAATTCCATTGTTGGTGGAGTTCAGAATGCTCTTTGATATTGCAGGTGAACTATAAATCCCAGCAACCATAACTCCCAAATGACAAAATCAATCCTTCCCTCAACCCCACCAGTATTCAAATTTGGGTGTATCGAGTATTTGTGTCAAATGAATGAAAATACATCCTGATATTTACAAGATGATTCGTAACAGGAGAAAAATTACAGTTATGAAATAGCAATGAAAATAATGTTATGGTTGGGGGTCACCACAACATAAGGAACTGTATTAAGGGACCACGGCATTTGGAAGGTTGAGAACCACTGCCATAGATGCATGTGAAATGTCAGGAGGGAATGCTTCTAGAACATGGCCACACAGCCTGAAAACCCTACAACAACCAGATTCACTGTCTGTTTCCAAAAGGGGTTCCTAAGACCATCAGATATATATGATTTCCGATGGTCTTTGGCGACCACTCTGAAACCCCCTCAAGATCCCCCCCCCAAGGGGTCCCAACCCCAAGGTTGAGCAATACTGCTCTAAGTTCTGAATTCTTGGCCTCATACCAACAAATGTCAGGATCTTTCTTACCTTTGGGCTCTTCGTCGTTCTCTGTGTTTTGTTCTTCGATTTTTGTGGAATCCTTCAGCGTTTCATATTCCTTTTCCATTTTAGCGGCGGCTGCTTTGGTGCTGTCGGTCTCTTCGGTGCTCTTGTCTAGAGAGGTTGCAAACAGAGCATCTCCTTAACTCTCTATCGCCTGAACAGCTAATCACCTCTCAACAAAGGATTCCCCCAGGCAATAAGAAGCCAGACCTTGAAACTGCCAGGCCATTAAATGCTAATCCAGATGGCCAATTGAAACAGGCACTTCCAAGGCATTAAATGCTAATCAAGGTGGTCAGTTGAAACATTCACACCTAGCTCCAGCAGACAAACGTCCTTTGTCCCACCCTGGTCTTTCCACAGATATATGAACCCATTTTCCTACTTCTAACAGACCTCACTACCTCTGAGGATGCTTGCCATAGATGCAGGCGAAACATCAGGAGAGAAGCCTCTAGACCATGGCCATATAGCCCGAAAAAACCTACAACAACCCAATTGAAACATTCACAACCTACCTCAAACAGACAAGAGTTCTTTCTCCCACCCTGGACATTCCACAGATATATAAACCCAATTTTCCTAGTTTCCAACAGACCTTACAGTCTCTGAGGATGCCTGCCATAGATGTGGGCAAAATGTCAGGAGAGAATGCTTCTGGAATATGGCCATACAGCCCTAAAAACTTACAACAACTCTGATAATGGTCTAATAGTAGTTCAGCTATAACCATAAATATGATCTAATGATTGTATTAAGTACCTGAAAGGAGCTTGGCTTTCGTACTGGGCTTCTCAAGTTTCTTTCTCGTCTGTAGGGCGATCATTGCATCCAGGTTTTCTAGAAAGCAGAAACAGAAAGTAATTCATTTCTAAGCCAAGAATCAGAAAGATTCTTGTGCACCTTCCCAATCCAGGAAAATGTAAACATGATTTCAATAGGATTGTTTGTGATGGAAGATGAAGCCTCCGTTGACAATCATCCCATCATCCCATCTCCTGATATATAGTAGTGTAGGTACCTTCTACACTACCATATAAAATCCAGATTATTTTTGAATGGGATTATATGGCAGTGTAGATTCATATAATCCAGTTCAAACCAGATAATGTGGATTATCTGATTTGATAATGTGGATTATATGGCAGTGTAGAAGGGGCCTTATTGGGAAGGAGGGAAGGTGGAAAGAAGGCCATTTCTTAGGCCCATTCCATACTGCCGTATAATCCAGATTATCAAAGCAGAACTGCTTTGAACTGGATTATATGAGTCTACCCTGCCAGATAATCCTGATCAAAGCAGATAATCTGGATTTTTTATGACAGTGCAGAAGGGGCATCTGGGCCCTTCCACACAGCCCTATATCTCAGAATATCAAGGCAGAAAATCTCACAATATCTGCTTTGAACTGGATTATATGAGTCTACACTGCCAAATAATCCAGTTCAAAGTGGATAATCTGGATTTTATATGACAGTGTAGAAGGGGCTTCTGGGTCCTTCCACATAGCTCTGTATCCCAGGATATCAAGGCAGAAAACCCCACAATATCTGCTTTGAACTGGATTATATGAGTCTACACTGCCAAATAATCCAGTTCAAAGTGGATAATCTGGATTTTATATGACAGTGTAGAAGGGACTTCTGGGCCCTTCCACATAGCTCTGTATTCCAGGATATCAAGGCAGAAAATGCCACAATATCTGCTTTGAACTGGATTATATGAGTCTACGCTGCCAAATAATCCAGTTCAAAGTGGATAATCTGGATTTTATATGACAGTGTAGAAGGGACCTCTGGGCCCATCCACACAGCCCTATATCCCAGGATATCAAGGAAGAAAATCCCACAATATCTGTTTTGAACTGGATTATATGAGTCTACGCTGCCAAATAATCCAGTTCAAGGTGGATAATCTGGATTTTATATGACAGTGTAGAAGGGACCTCTGGGCCCTTCCACACAGCTCTGTATCCCAGGATATCAAGGCAGAAAATACCACAACATCTGCTTTGAACTTGGTTATCTGAGTCCACACACAGATAATGTGGGATTTTCAGCCTTGATATCCTGGGATATAGGGCTGTGTGGATGGGCCCTCAGTCTGAAGCAACTGAGACAAGCTGAGGACAAAGGAGGACAATGGATGGAGGAGAGAGAAACCGGGAAATTTGAAAAGCAGCTGGAAAAGTGGGATGGCAGAGGATTAATCGAGACAGTCCCTGCCAAATGAGAAGAGTTGGAGATATCACAAACACAAAGCACTTTAACTTTTTATAAATACAGAAGAACTCTTGAAGCAAGATTTGCTCCTGTTTACAGAGTTTGAAATACAAAAGCAACAAGCAGTGTTTGAGATCCAGACCTGACGTAGATCCCCACCAGCTGTGGCCTGCGTATGTGCACAACATTTGCTTTGAGTTATCCTAATGGGGTGAGTCATCCAGAGAAATGCCAGTCTCTTGGGAAGTAGCTAAGCAACTGGGTGTCCTAGTTCGGGCTGGAACAAGATCTGATGTCACGCCTGGGTCAGTTGCCTTGGCAACTTTTTATTTTTTATTTTTAAAGACCAAAATAAGAAGCTAAAACCATCATGGCATGAACCTGTTCCACACCTGGCTACCTATTTCTAATAGTGCTATTTCAAGCCAATATTCCTAGAACTGAGGATGCTAGCAATACAATATGACCCTTCTATCTGCATGGGAGAAAGTCCTGGTGAAGTCGAACATGAGCCCCCATAAAAGATAGTAACTTATAGTTTTGCTAAGGACAAGGACACCAGACTGGATAATAAGGGTTAAGCCTTGGTCAATTTGCCAAGACACTAACAACAAAGACCCTTCCCATGTTAGATAGTGTGTACATTTATGCCCTATGTTTCATATACAGCAGAAGGTAGCACATTTATTACTGAGAACCCACCTCACTTTACACTTATGCGCTCTCTTGAACTTCTATGGGACTCTGGAGGGAGGGATAGGTGGGTATATTTTCTGTATTATGATTTCTATATTTCCCCCAATGTATCTGACCTTTTCCTGACCCTTTTGCCCAATTCCCCTTTATTGAAAAATGTATAAAAATGCAAGGCAGCCACCCCTCCGTGATCCAGGATGGAAGGAAAATCACCAGTTGAAAAGACCCTTATCAGAAGACTGGACAATAGAATGGACAATAGAAGAGGGTCGTGACCTCTGGGCTCAGAGTTGGTCCCCCAGAGGAAATGACCCGTTGGCAATTTTGATCATATCTCAATAGGACGAAGGAGACCTTCAGAAATCCGCAGCCCGTCCTAGTCTGTCACCCATTAAACTTTTCTCTCACCGAAGCTTCCACTAAAGTTTCCCCCATTGTTCCTATGTCTCAGCCCTGGAAATCCGGATTATGGCAGGATCGCCAAACATCAATGTTTATTGCAACCACTCAGTGACAATAGCCAGACTGGCTCGCAGGCCCTTGGGACTCGCTGGTCACTTGGACATTTCCTAATCTTCATAATCCACTCAAGAATGCATTGTTTCCCCTTGTCCTGCTTCCTTCTCTCCTGATTCGTCAAGGTGCCGAGGCGGAGTGATTGGCCTGGGCCTCGGGTGGCAGTTGAGCCTCCTCCCAGCTGTAGAGGCACCAGCCAATCACCATCAAGCCGGGCGGAGGGCGGGAAATTCAAACTTGGCAACTCTGTTACTGTATAAAAAAGGCTTTTATTTGTGTACATGTTATGCTTAGCTTGGCGAAATATTGCTGCTTTGCATCCTTTTCAGCTGAATCGCAATAAAACCATCTCAGTGGCACTTCCTTCACCTTTGGTGAGATTTCTTTTGGGAACTTAGGAAAAACCTTTTAAATTGGGCTTCTCTTTGCTCACCATTGTAGTGAGCCCTCTTTGGTGGGTCCGCAGGGTCTCTCCTTCAGGGCCAAACCCTTTTAAATTCCTCCATGATTTCACTGGCTTTTGTGTGGGTACATGAAACTTATAGAATCATAGATTTGGAAGAGACCTCATGGGCCATCCAGTCCAACCCCATTTTGCCAAGAAGCAGGAAAACCACATTCAAAGCACCCCCAACAGATGGCCATCCAACCTCTATATCCCAGAATATCATGGCAGGAAATCCCACATTATCTGAATATGGACTCAGATAACCCAGTTCAAAGCAGATATTGTGGGGTTTTCTGCCTTCATATTCTGGGATATAGGACTGTGGAAGGACCCTTAGTCAAAGAATATTTGGAGGTGTTTTTGCTAATTCCTTCCCCTGAAATATAGCCCACAGCACTGTAAAGATGCCACCAATTTGTAAACATCAGTAAAGGAGCCAGCAATTTGTAACGACTTACTAAATTGATAATACAACCAATGGCTTGTAATATTGAATTGGTCTTTCTTCAATGTGTAGCATGGCTTAACTTGAAAGTATTTGTAACATAGACTTGGCTTTAGAAGAAACTGTAACAAGTTTATTGAGGTATAGAAGAGGCTTGATTGTTTCAATGTTTCTTAACTCTTAGAGGCACATTTCTTCAGAGATTACATTTATAACATTTCATAAAACAACTCTTAAGAGGACTATTCCTTCCACTAAACAGGTTTCAAACTTATTTTCCTTTAAAATGTGTTTTTTTTCTTTAACAGATTACTTCAGGTACAAACTTATCCTTTCCTTATGTTATTTCTGTTGCAGTAAAGATTCTTATTAGGGTTATCTCCCCCTTTTGCTCATACACTGACTGATAATATAAATAAGTCAACTCGACCTATCTAAACTACACAGGCTAAAAGCCAAAACCTTCTTCATTCTCAACACAGTAGAATCAGCCTTTCCCTGTAGTTCTTAGACTACAGACTACCTTTCTGGTTCTCAACACACAACAGAACCAGCCTTCACTGTAGTTCGCTGACTACAGACTACCTTTCTGGTTCTCAACACACAACAGAATGAGCCTTCCCTATAGTTCGCTGACTACAGACTAACCGTTTTAAAATGGCTGCCCTGTCAGTTGGCTCCGCCCCTTTTTCCATGGCAACCCAGCTCAAAGTGAGTTGAGCTGGCTACCATCCCCCCTCCAGTTATGCTAGTTTAAATACTTACCCTTTTAAACACCTATCTATTATTATACATAACTGTAGATTAAAACTCATACTTCACCACAAGCACCACCTGGCATTCGTTGGTGGTCTCCCATCCAAGTACTAACCAGGGCTGGTCTGGCTTAGCTTCCAAATCAGGTGGAATCTATTGTCTTGTGGGTATTTAAGCACTTGATATCTCATTTGAATACTAACCAGAACTGGTCTTGCTTAGCTTTTCCAAGTTTGGACAGGATGTGGTGCTTTTTAGGATATTTAGGCCACAACTGAAATAGAACTAAAAGATATTCTTTGAAGAGTGTCCTTTACAGTAAGGGAAAGTCAACACCTTTATCCCCATTCTGGTTTGTTTTTGGACACAATTCCATGCCAGGGTCTCAGCTGAAAATAAATGTACCTTTTCTACCTCACACAAAGGATCGCTCTTAGTATTATCTCTCCTATCAGCCATAACAGTACAGTTGTTTCCATAACTATGTTCGGCAAAAAGACCGTGCTCAGGATGAATTGTTTCACAAGGTTTTGCTGTTTCATCTTGTTTAAAAATAAAACCCCAAAACTCAGGGGACTTCTTGGGCGAAAAGCATTGGAAGCTGTGCGTTCAGCTTTGTTATGAAAATGGCCACCAGCTCTGCGCAAGCTTGGGAGATATCCACCCACCCAGAAATTTGGCTTTTTCTTGGCACCATTGCTCTGTAGGCAATTCCAGAGAGCATCCAAAGCATTTTCCCCAAAAGGCAGCGCTCTTC